TCGACAATGGCTGATCCTCCCTTTTTAGGGGGTGGATTTTGTTCAATGAACTATTTAAGTCCATGTTTGCTGCCCGGAAATCCACCAGTTAAGCCTAGTAACTCCGTTTCAAATCCATCTTCTGATATTTCTGATGCTGCTGCTGGTGACTTTTCTTGATCTTGAGGGGTGTACACTGGCGGGGCCACCACCTCCAGGATGGTGGGAAATTTTTTAGTTCTTGTTGGAGGCCTCCTCCATTGCAGAGGCCTCTACCTTCCAATATCTCATAGAGGTTGAATTTGGATGTGTGAGTAGATTCGAAAGCTGAGGGTTGTTTTGGAATTATCAAGATTGATTTATGAATGAATTTCGAGAATTTGGGTTGACCAAGAACGTGGGGTTTATGAAGAAGAGGACCTTGAAGGTTTGGGATATGGAAAGAAGCCATGAATTCTCAACTGAGGTAGAGGAGTAGAAATATTTGTTGTTCTGGCCACAAATAAATCTGTGCCATATCCAATATTCTCGTTGCTCACCAATTAATCAACTCATTGTTATATCCATTATCCATAGGCAAGAAAACGATATTGTGGGGCTGGCCGTATTCTTCCGATACGATAATTTGTAAGAAACTCTTTCTTTAATGAAATACTCTCTACATTATTTGTTTACCATTCCTCACATTCGTTGCAGGAAAGAATGTACTGATTTGTCACCATGAAGAGAACAAAATTATGTGAGATGAAGATTGTACTGATCAAAGAAAGCATTTGCCTCAGGAAAGAAATCTGATCACCACGTCATGTTCATATTGGACTGATCAAATTGCAACATCTCAGCTTCAAAATTGTATCCTACTATTAATTTATTAGAGGCTAAGAAAGCATTAAAGTTGGGAGGGAAACCGGCAGCAATATTAGATTATCTTTTATTTCTTTAGCTAGCTTGGGTTAAAATTAGATTTTCAATATCTTCTATATATAAAAAGTGCCTATGAAACGAAAATTCTTATTTTAACGGAAAATATAACGGAATTGGTTGTTTTAACGGAAAATCTTTTTTCACCGTTAGTTTTATAGTTTCCATTAAGTAGCAATTAAGCCACCGTTTGTGGCAATTGATGTTGTGTCTGTTGGAATTCCATTATCTAATAATAAATGAATGGGAAATGCAAA